GGAGAGTAGCCAGAGAAGGTGAGGTGACAGGGCTGTGTGGGGAGGCAGCATGACATAAGCTGGGTGTCACTGAACATAGCTGGGGGAGGCAGCGCGTGTGGGAAGCAACAGGAGGGTGCCTGGCACTATGCCAGCACTGCAAGGGACCAGCGCAGGTGATAAGTAAATGGCAGGAAGACTGGCCAGGGACAGGAAGGGGAAAAGAGGCCCAATCACATAGGGACTGAGGCTCTTAGAGGAAGGAAGGCAGAGGCACACGGAGGTGTCTGAGCAGAGGGGATCCGTTGTCACCTGGAGCGATGCCACAGGGACTGGGTGAGAGCAGAGGCCAAGTCATTAACCCAGAGGTGGCAACTGGAATCTGAGTGGACTTTGTCAGAACAGCATGGAGTGGAAGAGCAAGAGAAGCCTCGAGAATGATTCGAGGCCTCTGGCCCAAGCACAGGGGAGGATGGCAGCAGGATGGACACCGGCAGACGGCTGCCGACGAGGCCTGGGGCTCGTGGTCCGGGGTGGGCACAAGGACTCGCCAGGGGCCGTGTCAGTGCCATAGAATGACCAGAGGCCACGCCGCAGGGCGTGCGGCCAAACAGCTGGTGACTGCAGATCCAGGCACGGTGAACAGGGCAAAAGGCTTTTAAGTTTTGCTGCAAGGAAAACACAGAGAGGGCTGCGGGGTTGAGTGAGCTGTTTGAAGAAACGCCAGCAGGCGGTCAACACAGGAAGGGCTGGGGGCAGAACGCGGTGGAGACAGAAGGTGGAGGCGGAGAGTGGGCTCCGAGGGCTGGACACGGGGATGGACTGGGTGGAGGATGAGACGCCCTCGGGGTGCAGAGGGAGGGAGAGGCCGCAGCCAGCGGGCGGAGACCCTGGGGAGTGGGGAGAGGAAGAGAAGGGAGCCCCTAGGCTGGGGGACTGGTGAGGGTCCAGACCCAGACAGATGGGAGAGGAGCCGGGAGGAGAAAGGGGCAGCAGGAAACGACCTGCGTGAAGCCAGCAGGCCTGGCTGGCGGGGGGGGATCCGCGGCTGGGGAGCAGACTTCCAGCACAGCGCGAAAGCTCCGAGGCCTGGCCGGGAAATCTCGAGGTCCCCCAGCGTCACCACACCCTGCAGGGGCTCCATGTCCTGCTGGCCAGGCCCCGGTGAGCACAGCTGAGAGCCTGCGCTGTGAACACGGGAAGAAAGGGCAGGAGCCAAGGCAGGGAAGACTCAGGGGACTCCCCACCTGCAGAAGGCTGTCACCCTCCACAGGCTCTACACGCAGAGCAGCGCCAGAGGAGCCCGGCTCCTGCAGCGCAGCGGATGCCAGACCAGAGCAGGTTTAAAAAAGAAAGCCAAGGCCGGGCGCGGTGGCTCAAGCCTGTAATCCCAGCACTTTGGGAGGCCGAGATGGGCGGATCACGAGGTCAGGAAATGGAAACCATCCTGGCTGACATGATGAAACCCTGTCTCTACTAAAAAATACAAAAAAACCAGCCAGGTGAGGGGGCGGGCACCTGTAGTCCCAGCTACTCAGGAGGCTGAGGCAGGAGAATGGCGGGAACCCGGGAGGCGGAGCTTGCAGTGAGCTGAGATCGGCCACTGCACTCCAGCCTGGGCGACAGAGCGAGACTCCGTCTCAAAAAAATAAAAAGAGAAAACCCACGTTATTCACCTAACAAAGTACAACAACAAAAAGAAGTGTTTGCTCTGGTTTGAATCACCTTGGAAGAAGCAGTCAGGATCAGAGGTATGAGAAACAGGAGAAGGAAAACAATCTATCTCATAACCTTGGATCAGTGATCTAAGGAGGTTATTTATTTTTTCCCTTCGGATCTGGTAAGATTTTCATAACACAGCAAGGTATTTAAAGTATCTCTAATTCTAGGAGATCCTGAAAGAAAAATGAAATGACAAACCCATCATGTATTTTAGAATAGGCTATGGTTTTTAATTCAGTTAAGTTTTCTGAGAGCAGAATTTGTTATAACTACTGTTTCAACTATATGGCTTGTTCACCAAAAACAGCCATACTAAATTTGTAACTATAATTCAGATTGTTTAAAAGAAATTCAATTAAGTTTAATATCAATTTTTAACCTCTTACCTATCAAGTAGAGAACAAAAAACCCTCTAAGAATTGCTAGTAAAACTAAAAATTAATTAGCCAGCCATGGTGGTGGGGTGGCACCTATAATCCCAGCTACTTGAGGGGCTGAGGCAGGAGAATCGCTTGAACCTGGGAGATGGAAGTTGCAGTGAGCTGAAATTTAGCCCCTGCACTCCAGTCTGGGCTATGAAGTGTTTCAAAAAATAAAAATAAAAAATAAAACTGAACTAAAATTTGGCATGATGCTTATGGAGGGATAATCTGGCAATTTGTATCAATGTACATACCTTTAACCTCAACATCTCACTTGTAGGAATCCATCCTAGAGATATACTCCAGGACATAAGCTACATGAGGACAGGGATTGATTGGTTTTGTTCACTGCTGCATTCCCAGTACATGCCTGCTACACAGCAGGTCCTCAGTAGCCATGTGCTGAATGAATAAGTGGGAGAATGATTGTGAGAGGTCATATATGCACAAAGTTATTCAGTACAGCCCTTCTTGGATTCTTGTAAACAGAAAAAGAACAGAAATACATAGTGCTTAGGTGAGTAAATTATGGCACATACTACAATTCTATATAATAATAAAACAAAGAATAAAGATGTTCTGTTAAGATACATCATGATAGGCCGGGCGCAGTGGCTCAAGCCTGTAATCCCAGCACTTTGGGAGGCCAAGACCGGCGGATCACGAGGTCAGGAGATCGAGACCATCCTGGCTAACACGGTGAAACCCC